CTCAAGTATAGCAGGGATTGTGGGGCTGGCGCGGGATCGGGCAGTGTTTCGTTCTGCTGTGCATGGGGTCGCTATGAGTCGGAAATGACTTGATGGCAGTTAACAACAACAACAACAACAAAGTGGATGGTCAGCATAAAAGGGGAAGACCCTCAACAAGATGGACATAGTGGCTGTGACAATGAGCTCAAGCATAGCAAATATTGTGAGGATGGCCCAGTATTGGGCAGTGTTTTATTCTGTTGAATACAGGGTCACTGTGAGCTAGAGCTAACTCAACTGAACCTAACAACAACAACATTAAGGTGGGTATTATTATTATCCCCATTTTAAACATGACAAGACTGAGTCACAAGTAACTTGTTGCAGAACTAGTATTTCAACCCACAGCTAACTGGTTCCTTCTGATTAGACCCCCTGTTGAGAATTTCACCCCAGATATACTAAATCAGTATCTACAGTTTAACAAGATTCCCTGGCAATTCTATGTATTCTATGTATATAAAGGAACTGTTAAACTATAGATGTTGATTCAGTATATCTGGGGAAGAAACTCAAATTCTCAGCAGGAGCTCCAACTGGAATCAACCAGTTCAAACCCATTTCAACTAGACAGTCTGGCTCTAGGTGTTCCTCCCTACTAATCTACAAAGGAACAATATGCAAAGAATGCATTGGAAATCTACTCTTTTTCTCTCAGTAAGGCCTCAGGGACCCTAATCTAGAACAGGGTATTACAATTGTGAAGGCTCCGGAAAACAGGACTTTACTCTTGGCTTCTGAGAAATTAAGAAACTGACATTACTAAAACACCACTAACAAGAAAAAGCTGAGACACACAACCTTCCCCATCTAGGCTCAAACACCCAGTACCCTCAGAGGATGAAGTGTTCTCTGCTGGATGGAAGAAAAAGCAACTGCTTGAGAAGGGGCTATGTCAGGTATTCCACATACTTCCTGGGGTCTAGCCACACTCAGCCCAATACCATCCTCCTCTACCTCTGTTTTCATCATCTAGTGCTGCTCTAACAGAAAAATACCACAAATGTGTGACTTCAACAAACAGGGATTTATTCTTTTACAGTTTAGGAGGCTAGAAGCCCAAGTTCAAAGTGCCAGCTCTAGGGGTTGGGTGAAGGTCCCTTGACCTTGGGCTTCAGCTCTGCCTCTTGCTCCTGGCCCACTGAAGCTGAAGGCTTCTTTTAACTTAGGCAGCTGCTGGCTGCTGAGGCTGACAAACCCAAGGTCAAGAAATAATATGGCACAGTCCCAAGATTATTAACAACATGGCAGACCACTGGTTCAAGTCCTGGAACAATCCTAAGATTGGCAGACAATGTGGCAGGCTGCTGAATGAAGAAGACTTGGCTACATGTAGGGTCCAAGCATGCCAAAAAGCTGAGAGACCTTTCTCAAAGCTGTCTTCTTAAGTACTGGAAGCAGACCACATCCCGAAGGCAGCTACTCAGCTGCTCCAGTAGATTCCACCATGGAGTTGATTACCAGTCTCATCATGGGAAATAACTACATACAGCTGCCCAGTCACTCAAAACCAGGCCCAGTCAAGTTGACACACAACTTAACTACCACAATCTCCTTCAGTCACAACTCTACACGATAAGAAACAAAGTCTAAAAGCAGCACACTCAGTCAGTAAATAAGGTCACTGAATTGTATCAACTAAAGTCAGAGAAAAAACATTGGGCCTTTTTGGAGAGATTTTCAACAACAGGTCTGTTATAACCAACAGGACCTCCAGTTGCCTCATCAAGAAGTCTAATTGGTCAGAACAGCCCACTGGCTGTCCATTCCAATTAACCAAAGTTTTTCTGGATCTTTTGTAGAGAATGCCCCTACCTAGCTAACGCAAACATTAAACGAAACAGTTGAGATGGATTAAAAACAATATAAGTATTAAATGCATGCTAAACATTAGGTGAATCAAAACAAAAAGCCTCTTGATTCCCAAACATAGTGGAGGCTAACTGGTAAACTGATACCTGAATTAAGTGGCAGATTCTGAGTTTCAACTTGACTATAATAAGCTACATTTGGCTCTTCTGTAAATTTTCAGAGCACATCTCATTGCATGCAAACTGCCTGTGGCTAGGATCCAAAGAGTGACATGGTATGATGGATTGAATTGTGTCCACCTAAAGTATGTGTCAACTTGGCCGGCCGTGATTCTCAGCAGTTTGGCAGTAATGTTATGATGTAATTTGGCAGTTAGGGTATAATCATCCCCCACGATGTAATCTGATGTTATCAGCCAATCAGTTGTAAGAGGATTAGAGTGGAATGCAACCCCCATACTCAGGTCACAGCACTGATCTGATGTAAGGCAAGTTTCCCTGGGATGTGGCCTGCATCACCTTTTATCTTATAAGTGATAAAAGGAGAGAGACGCAGAGAAGGAGGAATCTCAGCACAACCAAGAAAGAAGAGCCAGCAACAGAATGCATCCTTTGGACTGGGGTCCCTGCACTGAGAACCTCCTAGACCCAGGAGAAGACTGATGTGAAGACACATAGAGATCTCCAAGAATTGCCAGGCCCACAGATCCTGAAAGGAGACAAGGACTTTCCCCAGAGCTGACAAACAGAGAAAGCCTTCCTCTAGAGCTGGCACCCTGAATTTGGACTTCTAGATTCCTAAACTGTGACTGAATCAATTTCCTTTTGTTAAAGCCATCCACTTGTGGTATTTCTGTTATAGCAGCACTAGATAACTAAGGCACACAGTTATATAGATGCTACCACATGGTACATCCAAATGGTCTCACCACAGACCTAACCTATCACACCAGTTTCAGAATTCTACAAGTTGGTACTCTTAAAAAAGAGATGACATGAATAGCAATAAGAAACATCTAACTATGGGCTTCTCTCTATGCCAAAAGAAAAGGCAGAGGAGAGAAAAGTTTTTCCAATGTGGAGGACAACACATACATTGTCAGGATCACAGTTCTGACCTTACCTGCAATGATCCCGTCCATTTGCTCCAGGGCAGCCTCCAACACATGACTCGCATCAGAAGCCATGACTCCTGTTGCCTAAGTTGTCTCCTTCTATGCCTACTGAAAGTGCAAATACAAAACAAGGGAAAAATTACAGAGTTCCACATTATGTAGACATGACTCCAAAACCCTTTTATTCCATCGTCATATAATCCACTTTCATAAGAATCCAGGCAGCCACTGTGTGGTTTCTGCCATCTCTACAGCCCCTTCCTCTTAGTATGAGTGCTCCTTTTCCACAAATCTTTAGCACATGACTCCATTTGTTTCCATAACTGAAAACCCTCCAGGGCCTCTGGAGTCACCTGTAGCAGCAAGACGGTAATTTCTACACATTACCATGATTACACTCCCACATCCTGAAGGTCCAACTACCTCCTGGGGCAGATGCATGGAAAGCAGTACACGTGATGAGGAATCAACTCAGGACTTGCACTACAGTAGCATGGACCAAGAGGGCCACAGCAGGCATCTGGTTGTCTTGTATTTGTACTTGTCCCCTATCTGCAACACTCTACTTGGGAGCAGGTGATCCAAGCTGAGAGGCCTCCACTGTCACTATCATCCCTTTTCTTGGAGAAAGCACTGTCTAAGAAACTTGGAGCACCATATCTTATGGTCTTAATTCCACTCCACCCAGCATCATTTCAGCTGCAGAATCCCATTTTCTCAGGGCTGAAGAACAACTCAAAAAGATACATAGACCAGCCACTGCCCTAACACTTAATCTCTCCTCTCCAGCCCTATCTATAAGGATGGGGAATTGCTCCCCCTTAACTGGAGCAACTGGCTTCATTGCTGGACAACTATGCCTCTTAGAAAGGTCTTTAAATTAAGCTGTAGCCTCCTCCCATTTTCTTACTTCCCACCCACCCCCACTTCCCTGGGAGGCAGGGAGGGACTTAAAGGAATCTAATTCCTCTTCCATATTTTGTTTTCCAAGAAAGAACGAACATTTGTAATCCTAAGAGACATAGATCCCACCTGTAAACTGAAGGCAAGAGCAGTCATTTATTTACTCATTTGCCATAACCTACACATGTGACTGGTAGCATAGTGGCTAAGACACTTGCCTGCTAACCAGACGGCTGGCGGTTCAAACCCACCAGCCACTCCTCGGAAGGAAGGTTGGGCAATCCTACTTCCGTAGTGATACTGCCTCGGAAACCCAAGGAGGGGTCGCTATGAGTCGGGGCTGACTCGACGGCACATAACAACAACAACAACACACATGTGACTAGTGGGCATAAGTGCTAGGAACAGAGGCATGGCTCCCACACCCAAGTATACTGCAGGTGAGGAAATGGAAGATTCCGAAGCTCTCTGCTGCTTCTCCCTGTGAAGTTGGACCTTTGGAATGAAGAGAGGCAAGTGAACAATGTAAGGCACAGAGGAGTGGCTTTGGGGATAGTACAGATAAGGATTTCACGACAGACAACCACACTGGACTGCACCAGACAGTAGGAGTTAAATTCACAGGCTGAGTTCAGATAGCCTGAGTTCAAACCTGGCTCTACTGTTTATTGAGTGATCTCAGCCTAAGTTTCTTCATCTGTAAAATGGAGATAATAATAGGACCTAACTTATAGGGTTGATATTATTATTAAATGGGTTACCAATATTTCATAGAATGCTTAGTACATTGCCCTGCACACAGAAGTGTTAGTATGTGTTAGCTAGTTTTTGTTTTTTTTTAAAGTGAGGAGATAATCCCAGGAGTATAGCAAAGAATATATTTGTGCCAAGAGCTCACTGGATGACAGGCATTAAATTCAAAGGGAATGAGTGCAGAGAAGAAGAACGCAGATAAGCTCCCAAGGTTGATTTCTTCAGAGGAGGTGGAAATGGCAAGGAAAGAGAAGTAACTGTGAGGGAGAGGAAGAGGAGACACTGGGGCCTTGATTCATAGGTACAAAGACCAAAGAAGGAGCCAGACAAGACCTCAACAAAGAACAGAGCTGCTCGGAAGTGATGAGTGAAAATCTTGAGGTCTAGCATGGAAACAATTAGTCCGAGGGGCTAGTAGACCATGGGAACCTCAACATACACAACCCTGAGACCACAAGAACGAGATGGTGCCTGCCTACCATTGCCAACCACTCAGAAAGTGGTCAAAATTGGAGATCCTGAATAGAATGAGAGAAAAAAACGTGGGACAAAACTCAAAATCATAAAAAAGATCATGCTTACTGGTCTGATAGAGACTTGTGAAACCTCTTAGACTATAGTCCCTAGTCACCCTTCAGGCCTGGAATTGAACTCACTCCCATGGCTTAAACTTTCAGCTAAATAATAGATAGGCTTATGAGGTGAACAATTACTTAGAACAATCAACCATGAGAGATCAGAAGGGCAGCACTAGTGCAGCCAGAAAGCTCAGAAGACAGGAATGCATAGGAAAGAAAGATAGGGGAAAGGTAAACACAGGGAGGAAGGGGGAAGAGAGCTGTTACATTGTGTGGATTGCAATCAATGTCGTGAAACAAAATGTGTATGAACTGTTGAATGAAAAACAAATTTGCTCTGGAAACTTTCACCCAAATCACAATAAAGTTAAAAAAATCTTGGGGTCTGAAAAGAATCAATCTTGTGTCCAGATAAAAGAGGCAGCAGGGAAAGGGGAGTAGTGGAAGTAGAGCTAATAATCAACAGTTTCACACCTGTTCAGCCATGCAGGCTATTAATATTCTGAAATACTTTGCTCTGAGAGCTTCCCATTGTTCTCAGGAAAAAAATCCCAACTCCTTACCGTGACCTACAAAAGAGGCAGAGTCTGGCCAGGAAACTCACTTTGCTCTCCCCCTTTCTCCTCATGCTTTGATCTCTTGTCCACTCCCAAACACTTCAGGACCTTTTCATCCTCCACATGTTTGCACCTGCGGCTCCCTCTGCTCAGAGCTTACTTGTCAAGCTCTCTCCACGGCATTTATTCTCATCCTTTAGGTCTCAGCTCCAAAGCCATCTTCTGAGAGAGGCCTTCCTGCCTACTCCATCTAAATTTAGCAGCCTCTTTGAAGCAAAGCAATTTCAAAGTATCTGTTCATATATTTGCTTCTTTGCTAACTGGTTACCTTTTCCATGAAAGCAGGAGACCCTGTATGTCTTGCTCACCCCTATGTCCCCAGTGCCTAGAGGAGTGCCTGCCACATGGAAGCTTATGAGTACATTCTTGTGAAAAAAATTGAATGGATCCTTATAGCCAACTTTCCCTGAATCTCTGCTGGGTTGGTCCCTGTGCTGAGCACTGGAGGGATATTATTAATAAGTCAGACCCACTCCTGCTCCCAAGGACCACACAGTATACTTGAGAAAACGAACAAGTAAACAAATAATAAAGACACAGTGCAATATGACAGAGGCAGGTATGCAGTTTCCCAGAGGACTCATCTTGAAGGATGAGTAGGAGTTTCCTGAGAAGATAAGGTAACAACAGTATATGAAAGGCAGGGAGGCATGTAAGGGCAGATTGTAGTTGGCAAAGGTCAAAATGGCTGACAAGATTATACAGGAGCATGTAGCTGCTCAAGATGAGTTCAAACTGTGCATAAAACTCACAGAAGCTAGGCAAGGGTGATTAATGAGAGGAGTCTGGGAATCACACCCACTGTTTCAAAGGTCTATCTGGGCACCACTGCATAACAAAGTGGCCTCAAATACAAATACAAGAAAGATCTATTTCAGCAGGCTGGGCCCTTTGATAAGCTTTGATTGATCCCATATGGGGTCTTGATAGGAGTGAAGGCAGAAGGGCAGTTAGAAGGCAGCAAGCACCAAAGGGGCAGGCTGCATACCCCTTCAAGAGGACCATAAAAGAGGACTCATGGGCCCTCTGCCCAATGATGAGTTTGTACTTGGCAAAAAGCAACTTGGGTGGACCCATAGGAGCTGGCTTTAAGTGAAACATGAGTCAAAGGTATATCATATTTACAACCCAAGAGCCTGAATCAGAAAGATTGGGAAGGCTCAGGATTGGGGAATCTGCTTTGGGCAGAGCTGATGAGCTCCATTCTCAACCTGTTGCATCTGAAGTGACAGGAGAATATGTGGCTAAGAGAGGGTCCCAACCAGCCTCTGACATGGTGTGGCTGTGAGGCATCAGTGGTGTGGGGTATGGAAGAGGCCTCTGAAAGGTTGACTGTACCAAAGTGTGAGGACTTATGTCCCCATCTGTGAACATGGACAATCTTGTTTGAACAGGGAAGCCACAAGGTCACTAGCCATTCTCATTGGAAGTTAAGCATCATTTTATTCCCTTACCACTGTCTGGGTTAGGGTTCCCAATCAGTAATATGCAATGGAATGATCCCTGCCCTTAAAAAACTTAGAATCTCAGAGGCAAACATGTCATCTGACAATATGCAATGTGTTGATGTCTTCAATGTCTATTCCTCCCCACAGGCACACAGTGATTCCCCTTGGGATCTGAGGTTCAAGGACATAAAGCTCCAAAAGCAATGTGCCAGGAGGCCTCCCGGAGAGAAGGGAGGTTAACAAGCCAGACAGAGCATGTAGAAGAAGCAATAATCCAAAGGGGCTGGGAAAAGAGCCAGAAGCTCAAAGTCCAAAGGAACAACTGAAAACCAGGGTAACCTCCCAGCAGATACTGGAAAGTAGAGCTCAAATCACTTCCCTACCATTGAATGGGGAGCTATAGCAGCCACCCAGGGATCTTCCATAGTGTGGACAACAGAGAAATACACAGTATGCTGTGGGGACTTGAAGGACACCCAACAGGGAGAAGAACAGGCACAGAGAAAGACACTGCTCTTAACATCCTCAATACAGTGACAGTTGCTATGCTGGTCAAGAGCAATTGTGTTCTATCTGGACACTTGGAATATTAGCAAAGCCCTGCATTTGACCCTGATAAGCAGGCAGGCTTCTGATACCAAGAAATCAGCTCATTCTGAGACACAAAGATAAGCCAGGTTGTGTTGTTTAAGAAAGAAAAGTTGTGGTCCATTCATCATCAGTCTTCCCTTTCTTTCACCCACATGCCTCCCAATATGCCTATGTGACAGTGTCCCAGAATGGAGCTTTTGACCATACAGGACTTTACCATCTTCTCTTTGCTACTAGCCAGGGAGAAAAAGACCCCAGCAGTTGTGAAATCAGCCAATGAGGAAGAAACAGCCATGTTTTAGAATGACAATGTCTGATGACACAGATGTCTTAGCCATATGAACTGTGCTACACGAAGGCCGGTTTGTACCTCAAGGTTGATTAGGGTACAGAACCTGTATGTGTTCTAAATTTAAAATTTTAAAGTGGGCTTATATGGGCTACCCTTCATCCAGTGTACTCTGAGGCAAGTAGTGACTTAGGTATTATACTACTTTCAAGTTCAGTAAAACAGAATTAGAAGTAAGCAGGAACCATTGATTAAGGTAAATCTAGGGCAAGTAAGGTGTCCCTGGATGGTGTAAATGATTAATTTACTTGGCTGTTAACTGAAAGGTTGGATGTTTAAGTCCATTTGGAGATACCTTGGATAAAAGGCCAGGTAATATATTTCAAAAAAAATCTGCTACTGAAAACCCTACAGAGCACAGTTCTACTCTGACATGTGTGGGGTCATCATGAGTTAGAATTGATTCCATGGCAACTGGTACTGGTTGAGCAAGTAAACCATAACTTATCCCACCCATACTGAATTGCAACTTTCTAAGTTTGGTTTTTTGGTGACACAATGGTTAAGCACTTAGCTACTAACCACAAAGTTGGTTATTTGAACCCACCAGCAGCTCCACAGGAGAAAAGACCTGGTCACCTGCTCCTGTAAAGATGATTGTTGTTGTTAGATGCCATCGAGTTGGCTCTGACTCATAGCAACACTATGTACAACAGAGCAAAACACTGCCCAGTCTTCTGCCATCCTCACAATCATCGCTATGTTTCAGCCCATTGTTGCAGCCACTGTGTCAATCCATCTCATTGAGGGTATTCCTCTTTCTCACTGCCCTACTTTTCCAAGCATGATATCCTTCTCCAAGGGCTGGTTCCCCCTGATAACATGTCCAAAGCTCATAAGATTAAGTCTTGCCATCCTTGCTTCTAAGAAGCATTCTGGCTCACC